TCTGCTGAATATATATTTTTGTTTGAAAAAAAAAATTGAATAATGTGTCTCTTTTTTTAAGAGATTTTGTGGGTAGAAATATAAGTTCTGAGTTTCACCTTTTTGGTCTTAGGAATGACACAGGAAACCGCTGTTTACTTGTCCATTGTAAAGATAATAGGGTAAACAACCAGTTCTCCTTGTAGCCTTCCTTTGAGAAGTCTGTTGGCTTATCACTCTCTCCAAGGTTTGTTTAATCTTCTCAGACTTACAAGTATGGTCTTACGTATTGTTAATTTGGTCATGTGTGGTGACTCACTGTTTGGAAGTCCAACGTTGTATTTGACTGTCTAATTAACTTTTTGTAGGTGCAATCTCCTCAACTCCAATAGACAAATAGCACTTGTTGATAATTAGAGATGAGCGAATCGAAGTATCCGAAGTGGAATTCGAGTCGAATATCGGAAAAATTTCGATTCGTGCCGAATCCGAAAAATAGCCTAATTCGGACGCGCGAATCGAAATCTTTCAGAAAATGGCGGCTGACATGTGCGGCGACGGAGCGGGGGATGTCTGGGAAGGCGCGCAGACAAGGCGCGCTGACCCATAATGCATTCCTCAACTACATGTGATCGCATCAGCCAATCAGCAGCCAGCCAGCCAGCACTGTGTAATGGTCGAGCTATAAATAGCGGCCATTTTGGAATTCTTCATTTGCCTGCAGTCATTGAACAGAGGCAGACCGCTCTGTACTAGGGACAGGGACAGAGTTAGGGCCACAGAAACATAATTGGGGACAGAGAAAAGTTACTTAGGGACAGAGAACCATTAACTCGGGGACACAGACTTGTTAATGAGGGCCACAGAATCGTTATTTAGGGACAAAGAAACGCTAGTTAGGGCCACAGAATTCATACTCGGGGACAGACAGAATTGTTTACTCAGTGCCAGAGAATTGTTACTTAGGGCCACAGAAACGTTATTAGGGCCACAGAATTTTACTCAGGGACAGACAGAATTTGTGTTACTGAGTGCCAGAGAATTGTTACTCAGGGACAGACAGAATTGTTACTGAGTGCCAGAGAATTGTTACTTAGGGCCACAGAAATTTTACTTAGGGCCACAGAATTTTTACTCAGGACAGACAGAATTGTTACTGAGTGCCAGAGAATTGTTACTCAGGGACAGACAGAATTGTTTACTGAGTGCCCAGAGAATTGTTACTTAGGGCCACAGAAACTTTACTTAGGGCCACAGAATTGTTACTCGCACAGACACAGAATTGTTACTCGCACAGACACAGAAATGTTACTGAAGGCCACAGAACTGTTACTGAGGGCCACAGAATTGTTACTCGCAACAGACACAGAATTGTTACTCGCACAGACACAGAACTGTTACTGAGGGCCACAGAACTGTTTACTTAGGGCCACAGAATTGTTTACTCGCACAGACACAGAATTGTTACTCAGGGCCACACAAAACTGTTACTTAGGACAAAGAAACGCTAGTTATTAGGGACACAGAATTCATACTCAGGGACAGACAGAATTGTTACGGAGTGCCAGAGAGGAATTTGTTACTCAGGGCCACAGAAACTTTACTTAGGGCCACAGAAATTTTACTCAGGGACAGACAGAATTGTTACTGAGTGCCAGAGAATTGTTACTCAGGACAGACAGAATGTTACTGAGGTTTTGACTCGATTGCCAGAGAATTGTTACTCAGGGACAGAACAGAATTGTTACGAGTGCCAGAGAATTGTTACTCAGGGGACAGACAGAATTGTTACTTGAGTGCCAGAGAATTGTTACTTAGGGGCCACAGAAACTTTAATTAGGTGCCACAGAATTTTTACTCAGGGACAGACAGAATTGTTACTGAGTGCCAGAGAATTGTTACTCAGGGACAGACAGAATTGTTACGGAGTGCCAGAGAATTGTTACTCAGGGCCACAGAAACTTTAATTAGGGCCACAGAATTTTACTCAGGGGGACAGGACAGACAGAATTGTTACTGAGTGCCAGAGAATTGTTACTCAGGGACACATAATCGTTGAATTAAAGAGTATGTCAGACAACATGCAGAGGAGGCAATTTTTTAGGAGCGAGCAGACTGGTGGCAGCAGAGGGAAGGGGTCGAGGGCAGCACTATTCGCAGCCAGAGGCCAGTGCTCCCGGTGTCATCCAGCGGTGTGTCTCCACCGAACAACCCTGCCGTCATTGAATTGGTTGGCTCGGTCGTCTTCCTCTTCCCAGGTCACCTCTGACACCTACAGCCAAACGGTGTCGGTGGGTACGTCAGACACAACCGTTAGTTGGCATGGCCCAGGGGAGCAAGCCCACTGAGACAAATCACATGTCCTCTACCTGCCCCTGTCCTTTGACTGTTCCCTCACCAAGCGAAGTATCGCATGCTGTGGCTCAGCCCCACTGTACAGTGAGGAAGAGCTAACAGAGGGCGGTCAGGAACGGGGGGGAGACATCGGGCCTTTTCAGCAGCCAGGCGAAGAAGTACTGGCGAGGAGAGTGACATACAGGGTGCTGGCAGATTACGGACCTCCCATAGCTGCATGCCAGGCCCCTAATCTGCCATGGGCCCCTATATACCTACCGCCTCCCTCAATGCTGCTGCCAAGTCCAGAGTCTCTCATGGGTCCCTGTACGGCCTCCCATTGCTGCTGTCTCCATCGCCACACTCTGCCATGTGCCACTTTTCAGGTCTCCTCACACACTGCTGGTGTGTAGGAATTTTTTGACATAGGGTGCTGGCAGATTACGGGCCTCCTATAAGCTGCTGCCAGGGCCCCTAATCTGCCATGGGCCCCTATAATACCGCCTCCTCATGCTGCTGCCAAGTCCAAGTCTCTCATGGGTCCCCTGTACGGCCTCCCATTGCTGCTGTCTCCATCGCCACACTCTGCCATGTGCCACTTTCAGGTCTCCTCACACACTGGTGGTGTTGTAGAATTTTTTGACATAGGGTGCTGGGCAGATTATGGGCCTCCTATAGCTGCTGCCAGGCCCCTAATCTGCCATTAGGGGCCCCTATATATACCGCCTCCTCATGCTGCGCTCAGCCAAGTCCCAGAGTCCTCTCATGGGTCCCTGTACGGGGCCTCCCATTGCTGCTGTCTCCATCGCCACACTCTGCCATGTGCCACTTTCAGGTCTCCTCACACACTGCTGGTGTGTAGAATTTTTTGACATAGGGTGCTGTGGCAGATTACGGGCCTCCTATAGCTGCTGCCAGGCCCCTAATCTGCCATAGGCCCCTATATACCGCCTCCTCATGCTGCTGCCAAGGTCCAGAGTCTCTCATCTACTGGTGTCCCTGTATGGTACGGCCTCCCATTGCTGCTGTCTCCATCGCCACACTCTGCCATGTGCCACTTTCAGGTCTCCTCACACACTGCTGGTGTGCCAACAGAAATTTTATGACATAGGTGCTGGCAGATTATCGGGCCTCCCATTGCTGCTTGCCAGGCCCCTAATCTGCAATGGGGCCCCTAATACCGCCTCCTCATGCTGCTGCCAAGTCCAGAGTCTCTCAGGGTCCCTGTACGCCTCCCATTGCTGCTGTCTCCATCGCCACACTCTGCCATGTGCCACAGATTTTTCAGGTCTCCTCACACTGCTGGTGTGTAGAATTTTTTGACATAGGGTGCTGGCAGATTACGGGCCTCCTATAGCTGCTGCCAGGCCCCTAATCTGCCATAGGCCCCTATATATAACCGCCTCCTCATGCTGCTGCCAGGTCCAGAGTCTCTCATGGTCCCTGTACGGCCTCCCATTGCTGCTGTCTCCATCGCCACACTCTGCCATGTGCCACTTTCAGGTCTCCTCACACACTGCTGGTGTTGTAAATTTTTTGACATAGGGTGCTGGCAGATTACGGGCCTCCTATAGCTGCTGCCAGGCCCCTAATTTCTGCCATGGGCCCCTATATACCGCCTCCTCATGCTGCTGCCAGGTCCAGAGTCTCTCATGGTCCCTGTACGGCCTCCCATTGCTGCTGTCTCCATCGCCACACTCTGCCATGTGCCACTTTTCAGGTCTCCTCAGCACACACTGCTGGTGTGTAGAATTTTTTGACATAGGGTGCTGGCAGATTACGGGCCCCCCTATAGCTGCTGCCTCCCAGGCCCCTAATCTGCCATAGGCCCCTATATACCGCCTCCTCATGCTGCTGCCAGCTGCCCAGTCCAGAGTCTCTCATGGGTCCCTGTACGGCCTCCCATTTGCTGCTGTCTCCATCGCCACACTCTGCCATGTGCCACTTTCAGGTCTCCTCACACTGCTGGTGTGTTGAATTTTTTGACATAGGGTGCTGGCAGATTACGGGCCTCCCATAGCTGCTGCCAGGCCCCTAATCTGCCATGGGCCCCTATATACCGCCTCCTCATGCTGCTGCCAGGTCCAGAGTCTCTCTCATGGGTCCCTGTACGGCCTCCCATTGCTGCTGTCTCCATCGCCACACTCTGCCATGTGCCACTTTCAGGTCTCCTCACACTGCTGGTGTGTAGAATTTTTTGACATAGGGTGCTGGCAGATTACGGGCCTCCCATAGCTGCTGCCAGGCCCCTAATCTGGCCATAGGCCCCTATATACCGCCTCCTCATGCTGCTGCCAGGTCCAGAGTCTCTCATGGGTCCCTGTACGGCCTCCCATTGCTGCTGTCTCCATCGCCACACTCTGCCATGTGCCACTTTCAGGTCTCCTCACACTGCTGGTGTGTAGAATTTTTTGACATAGGGTGCTGGCAGATTACGGGCCTCCCATAGCTGCTGCCAGGCCCCTAATCTGCCATAGGCCCCTATATACCGCCTCCTCATGCTGCTGCCAGGTCCAGAGTCTCTCATGGGTCCCTGTACGGCCTCCCATTGCTGCTGTCTCCATCGCCACACTCTGCCATGTGCCACTTTCAGGTCTCCTCACACTGCTGGTGTGTTGAATTTTTTGACATAGGGTGCTGGCAGATTACGGGCCTCCCATTGCTGCTGCCAGGCCACGTAATCTGCCATGGGCCCCTATACCGACTCCTCATGCTGTGACGTTGCAACAAGGTGGGGGAATTCAACCCTACATATGTTAGACCGCCTTTACGAACAGCGAAAGGCCATCACAGATTTCCGGATGTTAAAAGCGGATAAAGGTACTCCCTGTGTAACTTAGATGTCAGCCATTGGCAGCTCATGCGTGACACCTGCGCTTGCTCAGGCCCTTTGAGGAGGCCACGCTATTCGTGAGTCGGCAGGACTATGGGATGAACGACGTCATTCCTCTGTTGCACGTCCTGGAACAAATGCTGTTAACAATGGCTGGTCAGGGGTGCGGTAGACGTGGCGCACAGATCTCAACGCCACATGACCCCTGTGGGGGCAGGACAGGAAGAAGAGGAGGAGGTAGAGGAGGACATTGGTGCTCAGGAATTATTGAGTGAAATGGGTGTTTTTTCCACTCAGCGGACAGGAGTGGAGGAGCAGGAGCATCTGGTAGAGGAGGAGGAGGAGGAGACAGAGGACCCAGACGCACCGTGGCAGTATGCTGTGGAGATGGAGGTAGGGAGTCCCTCGCATTCCTTGGCACAAATGGCCCATAGCATGCTCGCTTGCTTGCGTAGCGACAGCCGAATAATAACCATCAGACAGAGGGATGACTTTTGGCTGTCCACCTTGTTGGACCCCCTCGCTACCGTTCAAAAATGGTGGCCTTTTTCACACCTGCTGAGAGGGAGGCCAAAAAATAACGTACTATAAAAACCACCTATGTAGTCAGCTGGTCTCTGCCTTTCTGCGCCAACGTCCATCCTCAGACACTGTGGGCCCTGTGCGCTCGCGTTCCGCTGCCATGGCAGCAGGGGAGGGGTGGGGTGGTAGGAGCAGTGGCAGCTCCACCAGCAGCGGCTGCCTCAGTCTGCAGTCGATGATGAGTAGCTTTCTTCACCAGCGCAGTGAGGAAACTACTAACCAGCCGCAGCAGCAGCAGCATCAGGTGGACCTGGAGCAGGACCTCAAACAACAGGCTTAGGCCTACTTGGACAGCACCCTGCCAACCGAGGTAGACAATCCCCTTGACTACTGGGCAACGAAACTTGACCTTTGACCCCAACTAGCTGAATTTGCCCTTGAAAGGCTGTCATGCCCGGCCAGTAGCGTGGCATCGGAGCGCGTGTTTAGTGCGGCAGGAGGTATTGCAACTCCGCGGAGGACACGACTGTCCACCCAAAGTGTGGAGAGACTCACGTTTGTGAAAATGAATCAGGCGTGGATTAGTCTGGATTTCAAACCACTAGTTCCTGACACAACTGACTAAATCCGCCATGAATCATGCCCCAAACATGTGCCACTTTCAGGTCTCCTCACACACTGCTTGTGTTTTCAATTTTTTGACATAGGGTGCTGGCAGATTACGGGCCTCCCATAGCTGCTGCCAGGCCCCTAATCTGCCATGGGCCCCTATATACCGCCTCCTCATGCTGCTGCCAGGTCCAGAGTGTCTCATGCCATGTGCCACTTTCAGGTCTCCTCACACACTGCTGGTGTGTTCAATTTTTTGTCATAGGGTGCTGGCAGATTACGGGCCTCCTATAGCTGCTGCCAGGCCCCTAATCTGCCATGGGCCCCTATATACCGCCTCCTCATGCTGCTGCCAGGTCCACAGTCTCTCATGGGTCCCTGTACGGCCTCCCATTGCTGCTGTCTCCATCGCCACACTCTGCCATGTGCCACTTTCAGGTCTCCTCACACACTGCTGGTGTGTTCCATTTTTTGTCATAGGGTGCTGGCAGATTACGGGCCTCCCATTGCTGCTGCCAGGCCTGTAATCTGCCATGGGCCCCCGTACCGCCTGGTCACGCTGCTGCTGGGTCCACAGTGTGACATGGGTCCTTGTACCGCCTCCCATTGCTCCCACTGCATGTGCCACTTTCAGGTCTCCTCACACTCCTGCTGGTTTCCATTTTGTCATAGGTTGCTGTATGGCCTCCCATTGCTGCTGCCTCCACCGCCACACTGTGGCTCCAAACACTGGTTTTGGCCCCGTGACTGGCCAAATGAGTGAAGTGTGCGGTGATTCTAAGATCGACGGCACTCATCTGCATGTCATACTGAGTGACAGTATTATTTCTCTTCCCCAGCAGACTCCAAGGGCATTTAAATTAAAGGTACAGTGTTCTGCACTAATATTAAGTCTCTCTGAAGCCTAGAAACACCCTTTTTTAAGTTAAATTCACAGCGAATTTATTCGACTCGAATCGAATATTGTCCACGAATTCGCCGAATCAGTCGAATCGAATTTTTCATTTCTTCGCTCATCTCTAATTGCTACAAATGCTGCTCAATGACATCTCACCTTGCCAAAGATTGTAAAATGTACAGAGTGTAACAGCTCAAGTGACAACACAATTTTACACCCTGTGCCAGCCCCATGGACTTTACAATGCACTCACAGCACTAGTGAGCACAGTGTGGAGGAAGAACACACTGCTACAACTACAGCAGAGATTCAACAGTAACTTATTATTATTATTAATATAATACAGGATTTATAAAGCGCCAACAGTTTGCGCAGAGCTTTACAAAATGAAGGTAGACATTACAGTTACAATACCATTTTGGTACAAGAGTATTGTATCCCAACTGCACAGAAGGGCCCATCAGCAAACTGCAGAAGCTGTTGCACCTTCATGTTCAGGAATGAGCCAATGCCCAGTTCTTGTCTGCAGCTTAGGCTCACAGAGATTCACCTTGCCATTGCTGGGAAGCCACCAAAGACATGACAGGGTGAAAGGTAACGGCCATCTGATAACCTGCCCATAGGCTTCCCAACCATGCCTCCAGGAATCTCTGTGAGCCTGATCATTTGGTTATTATAACTCCGCTGCATAGATGGGGCATTTAAATATGCACTGCAGCATAGCCTGCATGGAAGGTCCTGGCTTCCTTCTGTAGAAGCCAATGGGCACTTTCAGGTTTAAAGATGGACAATATGCAGCAGCTATCTTTCTGATGCAACCAGGGGCGTTTTATGAACCAGTGGGCCTGTGTACAAGTTCAAAACTTGGGACTTGTAAGGGAAAATGGAGCAGCCATTTCTAGATATAAATATGAAATACATTGGTATTGAATTAGATGGCCTAACAACCTATTTTCCTCTCCTGCTGGCTCAACATTTGGCACTTCACTTCTACTTCCAGTCTATTGTCTACAAGATTATTATCACAGCCTTTGAAGACCTGTTAAACCCAAAGGACAATGGAAGTAACAATAACATGTGTACTATTCGCATCTCAATGAGTTGCACCAAAGACACAGATGACTCTTCAAAGAAAGATCATATAGCTAGGTACCACCCACTGTAGAGCATATAAATTGTATTAGAAAGCCCTAGTTAGATAGAGCATTACTTTGAATCCAACACTATGTATTGTTCTGCTCTCCCTGCATGGAGGTCTAGCTACATGCTTGTATAATAAACATCTACTTTTCAATCCGGCTTCAGCAGTCAAAATGTTACTGAAACCCATGAGTTTTGGGTTTCCCCCGTCAGGACCTAATACTAGATTTAAAAAGTGTGGCACAGGCAGCTGCCTTTACAATCATTTTAATTGCTTTGTTTGGGCATTCAGCTCCCACTCAACTCCTTCCTGATAGGGTTGCCAACTTCTCCACAAATGTTTTTTTTTTTTATATGGAAACTTTACACTCATGCTGGTTTCCATTTTGTCATAGGTTGCTGTATGGCCTCCCATTGCTGCTGCCTCCACCGCCACACTGTGGCTCCAAACACTGGTTTTGGCCCCGTGACTGGCCAAATGAGTGAAGTGTGCGGTGATTCTAAGATCGACGGCACTCATCTGCATGTCATACTGAGTGACAGTATTATTTCTCTTCCCCAGCAGACTCCAAGGGCATTTAAATTAAAGGTACAGTGTTCTGCACTAATATTAAGTCTCTCTGAAGCCTAGAAACACCCTTTTTTAAGTTAAATTCACAGCGAATTTATTCGACTCGAATCGAATATTGTCCACGAATTCGCCGAATCAGTCGAATCGAATTTTTCATTTCTTCGCTCATCTCTATTGATAATATATACTTTTTCCCAGTCTCAGAGTCACCAACATAAGCTCTCAGGATTGTCTGTCTTGGGACCACCTGTAGATATTCAAATAGTCTATTGTCTCTGGAAAGAGTCCCTTCTACTCATTGTGTGTGTAATTTCACTAGAAGGTCATTTGAATTCTAACCAAGAAAAGTTAACCCTTAACAGACGGCTAGGCTGGTTTGCTGTTGGAATGAAATTATGTTTTTGATAAATAGTCCCCAAAAGTCACTACACACAGATGTGGTAGTAAAGGGCACTTTGCCTCATCTTGTAGCATACTAAAATGCTCTTTGTGACAGGAAATTGGCCATGTGGCCAAAGATTGTAATAGAATTAGGTGCAATCTATGTCAGGAACTTGGCCACTCCTATACCAACTGCCCAGAAGCTTTACATAACCTGCCAGGGGTAGTAGAGGAGCTGGCAAGGATGGAGGCTGAGGAGGCTAGGGAGGCAGAAGCAGGTCAGGCCTCTGTTGAGCCATCGAGTGATGCTGTTCCGGCTCCAGGTGCATCCAGTGCATCCCCAGTTGTGTCTGTCCCCCCTCTGTTGTAGTGTGTCCCCCTGGTTCGGTGTCCTCCCACGTGTTGTCTGCCCCCCCTCATTTGTCTCCCCCCTCTAGCCAGTCAAAATTCAGTAAGGCTGCTAAGGGGGCAGGTGCTGGAAAGCCTTTGGTGCCTCCCCACCAGTATTGCTTCCCCTCCGCCATAGGGAGCGGGTGAAGAGTACGGAGACTTCACGGCGTAGGGAGGAGAGTTTGGATCTAGGCTCAGGGGTTGGGGGTCAGGGGGGGAAGATAAAGGGGAGGGGTGGTTTGTGGTGGGGAGGGGAGGGAAAAATAAAACTGTGCTCTCCGCTGCTTCATCCATCTCTTCCTTGGATGTGGAGGACATGCCTCTGTCTAATAGGTTTGGGACCCTGTCGGGTGATGAGGGGGACATAGGTGAGCCCCTTCCCCTTTC